ACTTGCATGAATTAATATGAAACTCGGTACAATTATAGATCACATCAGGCCAAACAACTTTCGTGCTCTAAGTTTTATGACAGTTCAAATGGAAGTTATTTATGAATTATGAATTATGGGTTGTTTGAATAATTGTCCTAGGAGAAATACATCAAATTACAACGCATGTGTTTACCAATCACAACCAAACTCGGTGTGCATGAAGTCAAGACATTGAGGATGCTCAATTCCGGACGGATTTTTGATATCTCGAACGGTCTGGCCGTGGCGAGGAAATGAATTTTATGACTAAAAAAGGACACATAAAGTGTGTTATAACTTTGCTCAATTTACCTACAGTTACAAAACTTACCACGTATATTGTTCTCGTCAAGCCGATCAACTTTCCAATTTAAAGTCATTCGCTCTGAGCAACAGAAAGTCAGATATTGTAGTTTGAATGGATTTATTTCCCCTGCGATTCTCTCTCTTTCTCTCTCTCTCTCTCTCTCTCTCTCTGTGTGTGTGTGTGTGTGTGTGGGTGTGGGTGTCTGTGTGGGGAGGGGAGGGCTGTTGTCTGTGTTTATGTGTGTGTGTGTGTGGCTGGCTGCGATTTTTCCTACAAGTCCTTGTCTCTAAGTCCTTGTCTTTTTGCATAACAATTTCGCATAACAATATTTTTAAATGACAAAATAGGCATATAACCCCCATCTTTTAAATGTATAGTTTGCTTTAAATAAAAGTAAGATTGTATTTGTAATTGAAGTTGAATGAATTTAAAATTCATGTGCTATATTTCAATATATTTGTTTTCCTTAAGATTGTAAAACACTAACTTCATTCTTATCTGAATTACAAATATTTGTTTCTGTATAAAATAATACTCTGACTAAAAACACATTTGATGTTTGTTTTTTTTTTGTTTTTTTTATTTACATGTATTTTGTGTGTGTGTGTGTGTGTGTGTGTGTATAAAGTGCAGGGTTTTTTTTAGATAAAGTAGAATTTCTATAACTATGTGTTGAACTAATAAATCACTCTTGTGTGTGTTAAACACAATCTACTTAATACAGACAACTTCATTATAAAGATAAATAACAAATCCAAAAAATATATGATTATAATCTATGACAAAAAAAGCCATTACAAACTATATTAATGGAAAATACACATTGCTCTTTGTATTGTTGTAAAATATTCATGAAAAAAGATAACAAAAATCAAAAAGATAAATTATTTTAGATATAGCCATGTTTTAAATGTATAGCAGAGATGTTAATTGAGGCAGCAACATACAAACTTTCTAGAACAACATGGACCTGGATAGCTGGTTTTTATGGAGGACAGTGAAGAGGAAGAGGGTGCAAATCAAACAGCTCATTCTCAGACTACACAGCAAACAGCTTAAGTTTTTAGTGCTTTGTTTGAGGTTTTTAGTGCTCTGTCCTATCTATTATCAACATATAATAGATGGAACAGAACAAGAAAGGCAATTAATAATCTGTCATTGCGTCACTGCATTATGATATGAAAGGCTCAGTACAGTGTGGCACAAAACGCTTATGCGCATCCCGAGTGGAGAATGATGCGCTTAAAGCCACATGGAGTTACAGCGCACAGCGCATCGAGTCCGCATTGATGCAAGCTCTACAATACACTTCTTTTTGATAGTCAAAGCGGGGGTTACGTTTTTACACGTCGTACAGAATAACCCTAAAGGCACCAAGGTGGCGGTGCCACCGGCTTTATATTAAATATAAATATAGCTGTGAGCAGCGATAAAGGCCAAAGCCGGCGGTACCACCATCCCGGTGCCTTTGGGTAACTAAAGGCATCGGGGTTGCGGTGCCACCGGCTTGGGCCCGCAATCGCTGCTCGCAGCTATATTTATTATTATTATTATTATTTATACGACTATTTGGGCACTTTTGGGGCCCTTAACATGCTCAAAAACTCTTGAAACTTTGCACACGGGTCAGAATCCGCGGCCATCAGGGCCGGGCTGAAGATGGTACCCGGGCGTGGCAGGGGGGCTAGACAGCGCCCCCTGGAACGGGGTCCGAAAACTTGGTCCATAAATCAAACACGCTTGCATGTAATAATATGAAACTCGGTGCACATGTTGATCTCATCGTTCATATATACCTCAAACTATTACTTTTTACCCCAGCCCAACAGGAAGTCGGTTATTTAGGGTTGTTCATAAAACACTCGCAATGGAATTTGAAGTACTCCTCCTAGAGAATTCAAACACACGGCACGAAACTCGGTCAGCATGAAGTCAAGGCATTGAGGATGAAAGTTTGCGAGGGGATTTTTGATATCTCGAACGGTTTGGCCGTGGCGAGGAAACGAAATTATGGCGAGAATCGTGAAACAGGAAGTGTGTCAGAACTTCAGCATACATTAACTGATCTTGATGAAACTTCAGCAGTTTGTTTGCTGTAAGAGGACGATCACATGGATGTGAATATTGTGAGTCAAAGTTATAGCGCCACCAACTGGCAGCAGGAAGTGTGTCACTTTCAAAATGCTTTGAAATCACCCTCTTATTTTTACCCGATTTGCTTCAAACTTAATCTGTATAATGTAAATACATAGCAGATGAAGACCTGTGAATGGATTCTTGATATCTTTGATACTGTTGCCGTGGCAACGCATCAAACTTTAAAATTCTTTTTTTTGATGATTTTGAGACTCTTAGCGGCTTTTGGGCCCTTAACGGGTTTGAAAAACTCTTGAAACTTTGCACACAGGTCAGATCCCACAGCCATCAGAGCCGGGCTGAAGATGGTACCTGGGTGTGGCAGGGGGCTAGACAGCGCCCCCTGGAACGGGGTCCGAACACTTGGTCCATAAATCAAACACGCTTGAATGTAATAATATGAAACTCGGTACACATGTTGATCTCATCGTTTCATCTATACCTCACACTCTTACTTTTTACCCCAGCCCAACAGGAAGTCGGCTATTGAGGTTTGTTTGTAAAACGCTCGCAATGGAATGTGCAATACTCCTCCTAGAGAATTCAAACACACGGCACGAAACTCGGTCAGCATGAAGTCAAGGCATTGAGGATGAAAGTTTGCGAGGGGATTTTGATATCTCGAACGGTTTGGCCGTGGCGAGGAAACGAAATTATGGCGAGAAACGTGAAACAGGAAGTGTGTTATAACTTCAGCATACATTAACTGATCTTGATGAAACTTCAGCAGTGTGTTCGCTGTAAGAGGACGATCACATGGATGTGACTATTGTGAGTCAAAGTTATAGCGCCACCAACTGGCAGCAGGAAGTGTGTCACTTTCAAAATGCTTTGAAATCACCCTTTTTATTTTTACCCGATTTGCTTCAAACTTAATCTGTATAATGTAAAACATACGGCAGATGTAGACCTGTGAATGGATTCTTGATATCTTTTAAACTGTTGCCGTGGCAACGCATCAAACTTTACCATTCTTTTAGGATGCTTTTGAGACCCTTAGCATGCTTCAAATCGCATGAAACTCGACAGACACATCACATTTATTAGCCAGTAGACATGTGCAAAGTTTCAGAAACGGGCGTGGTGAGGGCTCAGTAGCACCCACCTTTTGACAAAAGTGGGGTTGTTAGTTTTAACTAGAGTTACAAAAATCGGTATGTATATTGTACTCCTCGAGCCGGACAACTTTCTAATTGACACTCATTAGCTAGGACCCACAGAAAGTCAGATATCTTTGTTGAATGTAGAGAAAATCTTAGAATTTTGCCAGTCTCTCAGTGTCTCTCTGTGTGAGTGAGAGGAGGGGCGCCTGTCAGGTTATTTTAACCCTTTATTTGCTGTGTGCGACTTCTCT